CAGATATTGTTTTAGAAAATTGCACACTGGTCCTGTTATTAATTTTTAATGGTATGTTTCAAATACGCATGAGCTTTGGAGTCAGATCTGGGTTTGAGTCCTAGAAATCATACTTGTTGAGTGATGTTTGGCAAATTACTTGACTACTTTGCTTCTCAGTTTCTGTGTCTGAAAATAGTGTTCAGAATGGCTGAAGTTGAAAAGATTGACAGTATGAAGTGCCTGGAAGGATTTGGAGCAATTGGAACTGTTACACTTTGCTGAAGGAATTCCACTTTGGAAAGTAGCTTTGTAAAAAAGTTAAACATACATTTACCATAAGAGCCAGCAATTCAACTCCTAATTATTTTCCCAAGCAAATGAAAACATATGCTTACACAAAAAACTTACATGTGAATATTTGTAGTAGCTTTATTCATCATCACCAAAACCTGGAAACAGTTTAGATGCTCGGAAACTGATGAATGTATAAAATAAATTGTGGCATAACCAAAAAAGGAGTAGACTGCTGATTCATGCATCTAATTGTTGAATATAATAACATTTATGCCAAGTTAAAGAAGCCAGACACAGAATCCTGCACATTGTGTGATTCCATTTCTAAAGATATTCTTGAAACAGCAAAACTATAGGGACACAAATCAGATAGGTGGTTGCCAGGGACCTGGGAGTAGGGAAAAGGGATTGACTGCAAAGGAAAAAGGAGAAAATATTTTGAAGTGATGGAAATGTTGCATATCTTGTTTGTGTTGGAGATTGCATGACTATACCTTTGTCAAAATGATGAATTTTTCTGTATGTAAATCATATATTAGAAAAAAACAACTTGTGTTTTAGAGTGGTTATGAAAATTATGAGAGATCAATCTCCTTCCCCATTTTTTCTCCTGTTTGGTTGTTCATCATCCCTGGCTGCTTCTATGCCTCTTATAAATTTAGGGACCGTGATAAATTGCAATTTCTTGTTTCAGAGTTGAGATATAATAGAAAATTTGTGTTTATCTGTCCTTATTTGCAGTCTTGGAATCAGATTTTAAATCAAGTCATCAACTGTATTTTTATTTATTTTTTTATTGATTTCAGAGAGGAAGGGAGAAGGAGAGAGAAACATCAATGATGAGAGAAAAATCATTGATTGGCTGCCTCCTGCATGCCCCCTATTGGGGATCGAGCGAGCAACCCAGGCATGTGCCCTTGACTGGAATCAAATCTGGGATCCTTCAGTCTGCAGGCCAATGCTCTATCCACTGAGCCAAACCAGCTAGAGCCCTATTTTTATATTTTTAGATATTCCAATTAGTACTGAATAACTCAGAGCTGGAACTTGCATACTCTGTAAAATATACCAAATATACTTGCTTTGACTGGATTCTGTATCTCTGTTCTGTGGCAGTGGGAGTGTTCAGTATGGTTGGCAGGGTGTATAAAGCAATCTTGAGTTTTGAGCCTCAGTGCTTCCTGAGAAAGGCTCTTCCACTTGTTAGCGAACCATGTTTCTATATCACTGGTTCCCAAACCTGAGCAAGCATCAGAATCACCTGGAGCAGTTAAAACCCACATTGCTTGGCCCCACCCCCAGAGTTACTCATTCCATACGTCTAGGTTGGGGTCCAAGAATTTGCATTTCTAATGAGTTCCTAGATGATATTGATGCTACTGGTTTGGGACACACACCTTGAGAACCACTGATTTATGCTTACTTCTTGTGTTACAGTGTCAAAATTCCTGCTTAAATATCATAGCCAGCATTTTTTAAAAATATATTTTATATTGATTTTTTACAGAGAGGAAGGGAGAGGGATAGAGAGAAACGTCGATGAGAGAGAAACATGGATCAGCTGCCTCCTGCACACTCCCCACTGAGGATGTGTCTGCAACCAAGGTACATGCCCTTGACCGGAATCGAACCCGGGACCCTTGAGACCACAGGCCAATGCTCTATCCGCTGAGCCAAACCAGTTAGGACAGCATTTTGTTTTTAAACTGCTTATGAGTCATGGGGAGAGGGAGAGAGTGGGAGAAAATAGTGTTTGGCTAGAGGCCACAAAGTGTCCAGTGCCTAAAAGCAGGGAAATGATGCTGGCAAGAGAAAAAGGTAAAAAAAAGGGATGTCTAGTTGCCCCCTTTCTTTTATCCTTCTCATGCTGCATCATTATCGTTTTATCCCCTTAGCAACAGGCTCCCTTTGGACTCTTATTCTCTGTCAAAGTTCTGAGGATTCTTACTAGGCCTCCTCTGCCCATTGGCCTAAGATATTCTTGGTTAAGACTTTTCATGGCTTAGTTTGTTACAAATAGGCCCACCTCCTCACACTTAAGTTTTGTGATTGTGTCCTATTTTTTCCAGACCAATAGTAATTTGCACTAAATGAAATCAAAGTACCATAAAACTGCTCAATTTGAAGCAGTCTGGGGTGTGTAGGGTGGGTGACTGATTTCAAGTGAACAGATATAAATCATGCCCTTGTATCAAACAATTTCCTAGCCCCAGGAAGAAATCACCCTAATAATATTAATAGTACTAGGTGTAAAAAGAGTATGAGTAAAATTTAGAATCTTAAAAATAATTTGTATGCGTTAAATGTGAGGAATTCAGAGATCATTTTATCCTTCCCAAATGCCAAAGGAGATCTGAAATTTGGTCAGAACTATTATTTTAAGATTGCTGTAGGGTATGTTGTCCTGTAATGATATCTGCTGATTTCTCTCTGTGATGGATTAAATATAATTTATTATGCTTAGAGCTGGTGTCCTTTTATCCTTCCACCACTGCCCAGCTGATTATCAAGAGTCTTTAGAGAAAATTGCTCATTGTGCTGGTTGATTACATGCCTCAATTGAATAGTAGCTTGCTGCCAATTATCATTACAATGCCATATTGATTTTTTTCATTTCCACTGTGAAAATTAAAGCGGAATTTGTTTAAAATGATATTGTGGATGTGATTGGTTTTGAATATTTGAGCTATTTTTTAAAATATCTTTTCAGTGATCTGACGATTCTTACTGATATTTTCTTATAAATTTAGCTATTTTGTTGATAAGCTTTACCTTAGAAGACATGAAATGTAGTTTAAAGACTGAAATAGAAATATAGTCATTGTTTAAATATGTATAGATTTTAATTTTTGCTTTACAGGAGTCTGTTATATATTAATTTACATTTGTGAAGTTCTTGGGCAATATGAGACTACTGATTCTCTTAATCACACAAGTTAGTAAGTTTATTTAAATTTGAATTAGCAAATATTTACTTAGTGTTGACTATATATAAGCTAGCCTGCTAAGTATTATTGAAGACAGAAAGGTAAATGAGATAATATAACTGTCTTCACAGAATTTTTAATACAGAAATGTATGTAAGACATGTGTGACAAGAACGGCATAATAAAACAATAAGAAATAAAGATACATGGGTGTTCAAAGGAACAGTAACTCCTATTTGGATGGAAGGCTTATGGGGAAAAACACTAATGGAGGAATTGACAGTCAACTTGAGCCCTGAAGGATTTGGAGAGATGGAGTTGGGGTTGCCTTATGGAAAGAAACATAAATTAAGAAATGCAGGGAAGTGCAGGGAGGACTCCAGGAAGGACAGTGTCTGACTTTCACTAGAACATGTGGTATAAGGCCCGAGGCGTAAAGGTCGGTTGATGCTAGATCAGAGTCAGGATTTGAAATGTGTTAGGTAGTCCAGAGGAAAACTTTGGACAAAAGACTAGTTAAGTTCAATCAAGTGTGGTATTTTGTAAAATGAATAAAAGAACAAATGAAGCTGCAGAGAACCTGGTTGGGAGGTTCCTGGCTTGTTAAGGTGACTAGGGCTACACTAGAATGTTAGCAGAGACAATGGAAAGGAGGGCCAGCGCATGTGTGGGAGACCTTCTAGAAGTAGCATATTCAGGACTGGATAATAATAAGTCAAAGGAAGCTCTACCTGATTAGTCTCCAGCCTTCTAGCACACATGGGACTTCATCTCCTGCTGCTCACCCAGGCCCCGTTATTCAGCTCTAGCCACTCAGGTTTCCTCACAGCTCCTGGAATTTCCAAGTGCACTAGCTACCACCTCAGTACCCAGTTGCACTTATTCCCCCTCCTGGGAAAGTCCTTATTTTCTTCAAGGCTCTACACAAATGCCACCTTATCGAGAATTTGTCCCCGACCACTCCTGTTCCATTTAGCAATGTTTATTTTTGTTCATTGCACCAAAGCAGTGACATTTTATTATGTGTTTATCTGGTTATCATCTGTCTCCCTCTTTGAGACGATAACCTATATGAGGGTGAGGGCTTACTTTTGATGCCTGTTATATATCTATCACCTAGATAGAACATGCTGGTACAACATATATGCACTCAATAAATATTGATGAGGGGCCCTAGCTGGTTTGGCTCGGTGGGTAGATCATTGGACTGTAGACTGGAAGGTCCCAAGTTCGATTCCGATGGGGGCACGTGCTCGGGTTGTGGGCTCGATCCCCAATAGGGGGTGTGCAGGAGGCAGCCGATCAATGATACTCTCTCATCATTGATGTTTCTGTCTCTCCCTCTCCCATCATCTCTGAAATCAATAAAAATATATTTTAAAAATATTGATGAGGGGGTCACAGATTATGCAAGTATTTCAAGTCTGAATGATTAAAAGTATAGTGGTATAATTAACGACATGGAAGAATGGAAGAGGATTTGATTTTGGGAAGCAGGAGCACAGAGGAAGATAAATTCGGCTTATAAGTTTAGGTTTAAGTATTTGTTGCTGGAGAAACAACCAAGGCAGGGCTGTGGAGTGGGCAATCTAAAATGTGAAGAGAATTGTGACATTGAGGTAAAGATCTTGAGTCATCCTCACAGAGGATGCTTGAAGCAGTTGGAGTAGAAGAAAGAATGATGAGTAATATAAAGATAGGATTATCATATTTGAAAATCAAAATTTCATTGTAGATACTTCATGTTTTCAATATACAAACTGATTTATGCATTTTTTTTGTTTGTTCATTTCCTAGCTGGGTTAACAACTTTGGCCATGAAGGTCTTGGACTCTTACTGGATGTGCTGGAAAAGCTTCTGGACAAGAAACAGTAAGAATAAACATGAAAAAATCACCGAAGGGGAAATGTTTAGGCACAGTATAATAGGTTTTTCTTTTCTTTTATTCAGGCAAGAAAATATTGACAAGAAGAATCAGCATAAACTTATTCAGTGCCTCAAAGCATTTATGAATAATAAGGTAAGTGTTTATTTCTGCCTCTGTCACAAAGGGTGAGAACTTACTCAACAGTATGAAAGTATGAAACATACACAATAGTTTGTGCTTATTCAGTTTACAGAAAGGTCTTTCTGGCGCAAATCATCATGGTTTATTTAAATAGTATTTAAAATATATTTTCCTTCACAAAATATTTATTGGTAAGTTTTTATAATCATGCAAACACATAAGTCTTATTCCCAAATTAGATAATGCCTTTTTTTCTTTTATAGTGGAGAAAAATTTAGATGTCAAATATTGAATAGAATTTTCTTAGTGTTTTTATTCCTTTGAAAAGGAAAATTCAAAGCCATAGTTTGACTTGTTTGCTAAGAACACTATAAGGTTAAGATTTCTCTTTCTTTTATGTTCAATTAATGTCAGTTAACATACGTAAAAGACATTTCTGGAAAATAGTGTGGGTTTTTCTTGCATTATGAGGGACTCAACGAAATAATCCATACCAGGGTTGTTTTTTTTTTCCCTAAAAGTAGTCTGTGCTAAGGTTATGAAGTTAAAGTTGTTTTTTTTTAATTTATCTTTATAGTTGAAAGTATCACAGATGTCCATTTGTTTTTTCCCCCATTGATCCCATCTACCCTTCACCACACTATTGCCTGTATCCATGGGCTATGCATATATGTTCCCAGTTTAATCTCACCCCCCTCCCCCAACTCCCACCCACACCTTCCCTCTGAGTTTTGTCAGTCTGTTCCATGGTTCCATGTCTCTGGATATATTTTGTTCATCAGTTTATTTTGTTCTTAGATTCCACATATGAGTGAGATCATGTGATACTTGTCTTTCTCCAACTGGCTTATTTCACTTAGCATAATGCTCTCCAGGTCCATTCATGCTGTTGCAAATGTTGAGTTCCTTAAAATTATTTTTTTTCTATAAACTATTTTGTTACTGTCTTAGAAATGATTTGCTTTATATTTCCATAAGTAAAATACCACTGCTTAATTTACTAATTACTTAATTTCCTTTAGATGGTGTTTTAAGAATCTCAAATATTAATAGACATAAATAATTATAACAATAATCAAAAGCTTGCCAAATGTGAAATATAACTATTAATAATCAGTGCAATAAGATAGTCTAAGTAATCTTCAAAGGCTTTCTTAATTATATGGGATTACATGTAAGTGTGTATATACAGGGTGGGACAAAAGTAGGCTTACAGTTGTGAATATGCAAAACACAGTGTTTATTCTTGTAGTATTATTAATTAATTATTGTATTTTCCATACAAACATAATGGTTTGACTTAGATTGTTCTAAACTAAGGTTAAGATAGGGCATGTTAATATCTTGCACATAGAGGCTCAGAACATGAATACATGGTGGATATTTTAAATTATAGGCATATGAAATAATAGGCGAAAGTATGCATTAAAAATAAAAATATATAGTGATAAGTCCACTTCGTGTTGGAATAAATTGTCCTAATCAAAGAATCAAAGTTTCATCTGAAATGACTTAAACATCAAATTTGTTGGCCCTAAGGAGTTTATGTTACCTACTTCAAAAATTATTTTTCCTTATACAGTGCATGTCAGAATAGGATCATAAAAAGCTATCAATTTCTTCTTAACTTCCTTTGCTGTAATATTGCTCTGAGGTTTAGATTTATGTTTTTTTCATTATTACTCATACCTTCATTTTTATTATCAGTATATCCCTACATATTATAAAATACTTTTAAACAATAAATAGAAATTTGAAAATATAAATGATTTCACTCTTAGTATGATTTTTTTTCTTTTTTTTAATCTTTATTGTTGAAAATATTACGTGTCCCCTTTTTCTCCCCTTCCCCCACCACAAGCCTTCACCCTCCTATTGTCTGTGTCTTGTCTGTGTCTATTGGTTATGCTAACATGCATGCAAGTTCATTGGTTGATCTGCAAGTTCATTGATTAGGTCAGTCACAATTATGAGGACTGCTGCACACAGCATATATGTCAAACAATAAAATAATGCCCCTCAAAGACATTGATCTGTACCCCTTCTCCCACCCTCCCCTGCTTTCCCTTTGAGATTTGACAGTCAGTTCAATGCTTCTTTGTCTTTGGATCTATTTTTTTTATCATACTTTTTAAAAAAATTTTGTTTTATTGCTTAAAGTATTACAAAGAGTATTATATATGTCTCCTTTTTCCCCCTTCTTGACATTTCCCTGGCTTCCCCTATTCCCCAGTGTCTTATGTCCATTGGTTATGCTTATATGCATGCATACAAGTCCTTCAGTTGAAAATTTAAATGATTTCACTCTCAGTATGATTTTTAAAGTTGTTATTTTAAGTTTGGTAATTATGTGGTAATCATCTGTCAGTTTTACACCTGTGTTTTTCACTTATTTTTTTTTTACTATTTATTATCCACTGGCCACCTTTATGCATACATACATATTCCTTCTGTTTTCTTTGCTGCTTTTATATTTTGTCACTTCCATTTCCTTTTATGTTTTTTCTTTTATTTCCTTATTTATTTTGACCTCTGCTAAAGTTACATTTAAGAGCTTTAGTTATTTCCCCATGAATTCTTTAGAAGTTAAATTAGTAACCATGAAAGTCTTCATATGCTTGGTACTTAACTAAAGGTTAGCTTGAAATGGCCATTTTACTCTGATGAAATGTTGTCAGATTTCACCATCAGACTATAAAAAAAACAAACCTGTTTCATCAGAAATCTGAGAAATACTTTGTGGGACAAAGATCAAAGAATATATTACCTTAATGTAATGAAAACCCACATTTTGGGCTTTCTTTAAAATGTCTATACCTATTCATTTTTATAATGCGCACTTGCGCACACGTACTCTGGACTGGAAAATAAATGAAAGGGGTGTCTTCTCTGCCCAGTTGAATGTGACACTTATAGAAATCCAGGTGCCATTTCTTTGGGTTCATAGCTTTCAGAATGCAGCACAGCTGCCTGAAGGGGGAGGATAACAGAGAAGGTACAGGACAGTGATGGCGAACATATGACACGCGTGTCAGAGGTGACACGCGAACTCATTTTTTTGGTTGATTTTTCTTTGTTAAATGGCATTTAAATATATAAAATAAATATCAAAAATATAAGTCTTTGCTTTACTATGGTTGCAAATATCCAAAAATTTCTATATGTGACACGGCACCAGAGCTAAGCTAGGGTTTTTCAAAATGCTGACACGCCGAGCTCAAAAGGTTCGCCATCACTGGTCTAGGACAATCTGTACAGAGTCTTCTTGCTTTACCTGGAATATAGCATACAGAGAGCTTTTCAACATTTCACCCTTCTTGTTCAACTTAATGTTTTATACAAACATATTGGAGAATTTAACCATGAATTGCAGATATCTCCAGGGAGACCCAGTGACATAAGTGGAATTACTTTGGAAAATCATATCAGTATGTGCTTTACATGTTCTTCTTTGTTGAAGAAATACTGATTGTTCCCATATTTCTCCCAGATCTTTATGGAATTTTAGACAGGCTAATGGAGATCATATTTGATCAAGGGCTAAAAACTCCAAGATGCAGTCATTTCAAATAAAAAACAAAGACAAATAACTGCTTGTTTAAAGAACGTTCATATAATAGGTAGAACCTTATTGTGGAGGTATGGGTATTTAGAAAATCATTTTAAGTTGTATTTCTTAAATTAAAGATATATTCCAAAGACATTGTGAATGAAAGTTCTTTTTTTCTTAAGTTTGGATTGCAAAGGATTCTAGGAGATGAAAGAAGTCTTTTACTATTGGCAAGAGCTATTGACCCCAAACAACCCAACATGATGACTGAAATAGTAAAAATACTTTCTGCTATTTGCATTGTCGGAGAAGATAACATGTAAGTATTGCTATGTTATATTAATTGCATAAAAATGGCACTTGAGAAATTAATAAGTCCTACTCGTATGCTATTTCTTTAGATAACTTGCATAAAAATAATGTGAAATTTTAGGAAAAAATTAGTAGCATTTTTATCTTATCTATTTACATTTTAGCTTTGTTTGATTCTTTGAAAAATAGGTTTAAAGAGATAGAATCCTAATGGGGAATTCTTCAAAGTTGGATTCAAAGTGAATGAATAGAATTTTGTCTTGCTGACGGTAAAGCAATTACTAGAAATATAGGATAATAATCACAGTAATTTTGGCTACACACACACACACACACACACACACACACACACACACACTCGCGCGCCCAACCCTACTCCTGTACCCCCGCCCCCCACGTGCACATTACAAAATTGGGCTACTTGAACTAATTAAATTAACTAGATTCTTTTATTTTGTACTATTATTTTATAGAAGTATTCTATCTGCCTATGGTAAGTGAAAAGATAAAGCAATCATCCATAGAATGAAATAAACTAATCTGTTAAAAAGAAAGAACAGAACGTCTGGGTAATTTTTTAGAAAGTCTGTGGTAAAAGTGCCAGTTTCAGCAAGCCGTTGCCGACCCTGCATTAGATAATTTCTTCTTATGGAAATAATATTGAATCAGAAGCAAAATTTCAAATTTAATGTCATTAATATATCTAGTTAATAAGAAACAATTGTGATAAATAATGAAATACCTGCTAAGGACATGAACTAAAATGTTTCCTCTACACACTTTGCGAGCCAGCAGTAATTTCCATTTGAATCTGAACAGGGCTATGCAAAGAGTTAGGAATATTCTAATGCGTTGACTTTTTCATACCTGCTAGAATAAAATGAGATGTTGGTTAGTGCTGGCTAATGTGTCCTTAGAAACCAAAAGACAAACAAACAAAAGTATTATCGTATGGCATTAAATCTTATCTCAGTGAGAACAAACTATAAATGAGGTAACATATGCAAAACTGAGGCTTCAGTACTTAATTTATATAATACATCCTACCCTGCTATATTTGATATGCTTTAAATATAATTTCAGATATAATTTTATAAGGGTAGTAGACTACATAAAATTGAATTTGATTCAGACGCTGTACAAGAGATAGTCTTTATTATCTTGTTCAGGTAACTGAGTTTCTTGTGCTAGGTGATTATAGATGCTTCTCTAATTGCCTAGGCATTCTCTTTCAGGCATTGTTTATTTGTTCCATTTTCAAAGAATGTTAATGTTTTTAAGTTCTTTTTAAGATTTTTTACTCTTTAGCACTTTATTATAAAATTTCATTCGGGAGAGCATTTGAGATCTTATAAAAATTCAAAATAAATAAATAAATACAATTACAGTCAGGTTACACTTGAATAAACTTAATATTTGTAGGTACCCTTTGGGGTTGCAGAGATATTAATTAATATATGTTACACAAAATATCAATACCTGAAATTTTAAATTTCAGTGTTTATCAGTTAAGTATCTTTTGAAAACTGTCACCCAGAAAAAAATGTCCTCAAGATTTTTAAATTGAATTTTCTTGTTGATGCCCTAAAATTATTTAATGTTATCAATATTTGATGTGTTGAAATATGCAGACAGAAACACAATTCTTTAATTGTGGTGATCTATCTACTGGTCAAGCACCAAAAAGAAAGCAGGAAAATCTGATAGAGAAAACCCCATATTCACAATGTGTGTGTGAGATACGTTTCATTCCTTTTCTGTTTTTCTCTCTCTAGTCTAGAGAAACTTTTAGGGGCTATAACTACAGCGGCAGAAAGATATAACAGAGAACGATTTTCACCAATCGTTGAAGGGCTAGAAAATCATGAAGCTTTGCAATTACAGGTGAGTCTAGTTTTGTCTTAAATTGCTTCTAGAATTATATTTAGATGACTCATTTTGTGTGATGCCATTTGTGCTAACACTTAAATTGAATGGAACATAAAAATGAAATTTTTCCTGTTGTTTGATTGTTCATAAAAACTAGAAGTTTTGTCTGTGAGAATAACAAATGGTTTAAAATTAGAAAAAGCACTTTGGATTATTACAGATATGATTATTAGGATTATCATTAATATTTGGGTAGAAATTTAGTAATTGATGCAATAAACTGCAGAAATTAAAGCCTTAGCAATAATCAGGGCAACAGCACAAACAATCCAGCCAATGTCATTATCTTAAAAAGGGTTAACGATGTCTGTGGGCTTCTAGAAATTTAAAAAAAAAACAAAGTGCATCTCTCTTTGTGCCATATCCAGCATTCAGAAGCCTGACTCACCAGAATCGTGGTGATTGAATTGCAACTCTTAGGACAGTGTTTACCTGACAACCTGTATAGACCCAGCCTAAATGTTTTCTTTAGAAAATGACAAAACTCAGTATCTTTTCTTAGATAATTTCAGGAAATGACCTATTTTATGAATGATAACTTTGTTCTTGACTGGTGAGAATGCATATTTATTAACCATACTTATAGTGTGAGATCCGGGGCTAAACAATTTGTGTGTATTATCTGATTTAATTCTCACAACAACCCAGCTATGTAGGTACTATTATTTAGCAGTGAGTGTTTAAATATTAAAATGTCTTACCTGATATAAAGTAAGCATTTTCTTTTTCTCTTTTTTATCTTATTATCAATTGTTGGTTCTTTTTTTCACCAGCATTTGAAGCTATAGCAGATAGATAAATTGGCTTGTCCAAAGAGAATACTGTAGTGTTACAAAGCTATAATCACTCCAGATATTTAAGGAAATTTGTTCATTGTTAGTTCTGCTCCAACTATAATGAGCAGTTTGGATAATCTGTTATGGTGTGCCATTTATGTCCAGGATATTACATTTTTTTAAATAATTGGGATATTTACTTCCAGTTATTTTTTTTTCTTTTTAAATTATATTTTTATTTATTTCAGAGAGGGAGGAAGTGATAGAAACATCTGAGAAACAATCACTGATCGGCTGCCTCCTGCACGCCCTTACTGGGGATTGAGCCCGCAGCCCAGGCATGTGCCCTGACTGGGAATCCTACCATGACCTCCTGGTTCTTAGGTCCATGCCCAACCATTGAGCCACACCAGATGGGCTCAGTTTTTTGTTTTTTTTTACAATACACTTTTTATTATAAAATGTGTCTAAATAAAATTTAATATCTCTACTGAAAAGTATGAAAACTATCTTGTTAGATGATTTCTTGAAATTTTTGTCCTTGTTCCTTCGGCTTACCCAGCTAAATTTCTTTGACTGTCAGTCATATGTAGGAGTTTGTACTTGTCTTGCAATGTTTGTTTAGGAGTAATTAGGTGTTTTAGATATAGTGAATGTTTTCATTACGTAGCTCACTCAAAATTGCATAGCTGTTGAGGGGTAGAGCTTTGATTTGAAGCCAGGTCTTTGTGATGTCAACATTAATATATTGAATTGTCTGACCTTTAAAATGACACCTCTGTCATAGAGTAGTTCACCCAAAATGATGAGAAGGGAATGACATTTTCCAGTCTTCAGGAACCTGGGCTGAATGGAGTGATAAAATGGCAAGTTGTTAACAAGTAAACATATTGAAGAATTATAGACATCTTGTTGGGTATTCAAGAAATTGTTGAATACTTGCTACAGATGCAAACACCTGCAAATCAAAAAATTGAAATTTCCTATTCTAATGAGCTATAAAAATTAATAATTTTGTTATATACAGAGCCTATTACTCGCCCAGAATTGTGGGTTTATTTATTTGGACTATTTCATGTGAATGAAAAAATATCTAAAAGCTCAAAAATATATTCAGAATGCAGAATGAAAAGTAAGTTTAAATTTGTTGTTTAAAAAATATAGTTAGTGTTGTATTTTAACAGAATGACTTTTCTATTTCGGTAGTATCCAGAGACTTCTCAAAATGTTATTAAAGTCTCAGGAAGTAATTCTGTTAAAATACAGGACTAATTATATTTTTAAATAACAACTATATACCTTTTTTCTTTTTTTGTGTTTTAAAACAGATTACTAACTTCACACAGAAGTTTTCTAGCTCATCTTTAAAGTGAACTTTTATATCTGAGATAGCATTTTCATTATCTTCAGTACTTCAAAACATAGATAAGACAGTAAATCACATACATTCATATACTCTCTCTTCATTGACTTCCCTTCAGCTCAGTAGCATTCTCAAGTTTCCCTCATACTACAACACCTTCTTTTGATCCTACTTACCTTTGAACTAGCCTCTCATCTTCCTTTTACATTTTATAGTTTAAATCTCTAAAAGAATCATCGATACTTGTTTTCTCTGTTTCCTAAATTACCTTTCACAGCTCAGCTTTTTCACAGTTCACAAAAAGGTCAACAGTGATCTTCTAATTTCAAAATCCAATGGCCTATTTCCAATCCTGATCACTTGGCACTATTGATCCCCTCCCTCCTTGAAAATTTTTCTGCCTTTGGCTTTTCAGGCACCATTCTCTCCTTGTTCTTTAACTACCTTTAATTGCTCTTTATCTTCTTCATGTTGTTTCTCTTCTTGGGTATTTTGTTCTCTAAGTTCTGTCCTTGGTCTTTTTCTATTATCATTTTTGTATATACATACATGTGGATTATATACAGACATCCTATCTAATAAAAGAGAAACATGGTAATTAGCCGTACATCTGCTACCCTTCCCATTGGCTAATCAGGGCGATATGCAAATTAACTGCCAGCCAAGATGGCGGCCAGCAGCCAGGCAGCTTAAAGCGAACATGAGGCTCGCTTGCTTCAGTGACGGAGGACTCCAATGTTCCCCACCTGCCGCTGCCGGCCTCTGAGCTTGCAGTTTGAAACATTGTTATGAATATAGAAGCTAAACTAAACCCCAGAAATCAGCTTTCAGCGAGCCGGGTTCTCAGAGCTGGAGTTAAAACAGTGGTTTCGATTATAGAACCCAAACAAACCAGATACCTGCTTTCAGCAGCAGAGGCCTAAGAGCTGGAGCCAAGCCTCAGAGCTAAAGCTGGCCCAGAATAAAAAAACAAATAAACAGAAAAAAAGGAGCAGTTGGGAGCTTCAGTCACCCACCAGCCTGAAAACAGCCCTCAGCCCCTCACCCAGACTGGCCAGGCACCCCAGTGGGGACACCTACCCTGAAGGGTGTGTGACCAGCTTCAAACAGTCATCATCCCCTCATCCAGGTTGGCTAGGTGCCCCAGTGGGGACCCCCACCCTGATCCAGGACACCCTTCAGGGAAAACCAGCCGGCCCCCACCCATGCACCAGGCCTCTATCCTATATAGTAAAAGGGTAATATGCCTCCCAGCACCGGGATCAGCAGAGCCGCGAGGCCTCCCGGCACCGGGATCAGCGTGATAGGGGGCAGCGCCCAAAACCCCTGATCGCCCTGTGGCTCTGTGTGTGACAGGGGGCGGGGCCACAACCTCCCTATTCGCCCTGCTCTCTTCATGACAGGGGAAGGCGCCGCAACCCCCTGATCAGCCCTGCTCTGTGCCTGATAGGGGGGAGCTCCCCAACCCCATGATCGCCCTGCGGCTCTGTGTGTGACAGACTGTGGTGCTCCAACCCCCTGATCGGCCCTGCTCTGTGTGTGACAGTGTGCGGCGCCCCCCCCCACCCCCTGGGCCCTGCTCTGTGTGTGATGGGGTAGAGCCATAACCTCCCCATCGGCCCTGCCCTGAGTGTGACAGTGGCGGCGCCCCAACCCCCTGATGGGCCCTGCTCTGTGGGTGATAGAGGGCGATGCCCCAACCGCCCCCCACAGGCCCTGCTCTGTGAGTGACAGGGGGGAGCTCCCCAACCCCCTGATCGGCCCTGCTCTGTGCGTGACAGGGGGTGGCGCCGCAACCTCCCCATCGACCCTGCCTTGAGTGTGACAGGGGGAGGTGCCCCAATCCCCCAATCGGCCCTGCCCCAAGCGTGACTGAGGGTGGCATCGCAACCTCCCAATCCACCCTGCTCTGTGCATGACAGGGGGCGGTGCCCCAACTCCCCAATCAGCACTGCTATGAGCCCGACCAGGGGCTGCACCTAGGGATTGGGCCTGCCCTCTGCCACCCGGGAGTGGGCCTAAGCCAGCAGGTCGTTATCTCCCAAGGCATCCCAGACTGCAAGAGGGCATAGGCCGGGCCGGGCTGAGGGACCCCCCTCCCCCCCGAGTGCACAAATTTTTGTGCACCGGGCCTCTAGTGTATATATATATATATATATATATATATATATATATATATATATACAAATAAAATACAAAAAATAGCTTTTCTAAGTCATGTGCCAATGTTCTAAATATTTTACATATATCACCTCATTTTTAAACCTCACAGCAATTCCATGAGAGGTAGTAGTAGTATTCCTATTTTATAGATGAGTAAACTGAGGCTCACAGAGGTTACATAACTTGCTCAGGGTCACAAAGTGAATAGGTAGCAAAGCTCAGATTAGACACTAGGGTGTCTGGCTCCAGAGCACATGCTTTTTTAAAAAATTTAAATTCTTTGTTGTTTAAAGTATTACATAAGTCTCTTATTCCCCCATTGACCTCTCCCCGGCCGTCCACACCCCCAGTACCTGCCCTCCCCCTCCCCCGTCTGTGTCCATTGGTTTTGCTCATATGCATGCATACAAGTCCTGGTTGATCTCTTATCCCAGTGGTTCTCAACCTTCTGGCCCTTTAAATACAGTTCCTCATGTTGTGACCCAACCATAAAATTATTTTCGTTGCTACTTCATAACTGTAATGTTGCTACTGTTATGAATCGTAATGTAAATATCTGATATGCAAGGTGGTCTTAGGCGACCCCTGTGAAAGGGTCGTTCGACTGCCAAATGGGTTGCAACCCACAGGTTGAGAACCGCTGTCTTACCCCC